TAAATGTGTTGAATATCTTGAGAGTTTAAAAACAGCTATGATCACAGAAAATACTATTAGAAATTGAAAATGTTGAAGGGTTTTTCTTCTAAATAGTAGTGTACCATAGATAATGATACAGTCATTGTGAATAAGGAGTTTAAAGTGTTTCTTTTAATTACTTGTAAAATAAAAATTCACTTAAATTAAAAAACTTATGTTAAAAATATGAGGTTTTTACTAACATCTATAAATGAGTAATTTCAGTTTTAAAATTTGTTTTACATTTTAAATGTTGATCATAGTGACATGGATTAATATTTACAAAGAATATGAATATGGTTAATATTTATAAAAATGCTTGGAAAATGCAGTAAAAAAGATAGATTTCTTTTATGGCTTACTATGTGCGTATGTGAAATACAGTTGAGAGTACAAATATTCGTGGCCCTTCTTCTTTTGCAGTTTATGGTGAAATAGAGACAAAAAGCATCAAAATACATCAAAGGCATTCTTAAATGTATAACCACAAACTGACCCATGAGTTAAAAAAGAAAAGTCACAGAAAGTGTGCAATCAAGGAAACAGACTGAGTAAAGGACAGCAAAGGAAGTTACATTGGAGGCAAGATCAGAAGCATGTAGAAAGTTGTCTGTGCAAGGGGAGTGTGGGAAAATCAGAGTCCACCAATGGGAAAAGCCTCAAAGGAGAATGACAGTATGTGTGTAGGTGAAGAACCTGAAAGAAGCCAGTGCATCTGAAATGTAGAAAGTAAAAGCTGGACCTGTACCAAATGAACCCAGAAAAACAGAAAATGACCATGTATGTGTTTCAGAGCTTGCAGAGACCATTTTAAGGATTTGGATCTTTATCCAAAGAGCTAGGAAAGCCTCTGAAGTGTTTTCAGTAGGGATGTTTTAACTGGATACATATTTTGGAAAGACATTTTAATTGCAGCAGTTTAATAGAGGTAGAAGGCATGAATGACTATGGGGAAGATTGGAGTTTTTTAATACCAAAGATGATATGAGTTTGGGGAGGCTGTGATTATGGAGATAGAGGTAGGTGGGCTTAAAGATGGGACAGAGAAATCAGACTTAGTGACTGATTAGATATTGGGGATGGGATGGGAGGGAAGAATGAGTAGTGTAAAGCTAGTGAGAATAGAGGATGAGAGTAAAATGAGACTGGCAATGAATCATTCTCTAAAAACCATGTTTCTGAGGAAGAAAAGAAAGGGAACTGGGGTATTAGAGTTGGATGGGGGATAGATAATAGGGATCAGACAGGATTTTTGTTTTTTCCTAAGATAAGCAACATGAACATGTTTAAATCTAGGTATGAATGGGAAGGAACTAAAAGGAATTAGTGAACATAGAGGGGTAATTTATAGTTTAGGATTTCTGTGAAGTTAGTTAGAATTCAAAGTATAGGTAGAGGAGTTAGATCTTAGCTATTTATAAGAGACAGGCTAGGGAAAGAAGGTGCAGGTAGCTTTACAGATATGATGGAGAAAAAGTAGAAAGCTTCAGCCCCCGGCTACCCTCCCCATACAGTATGCTGAGAAAATGAGTGCTGGAGAAGAGGACTCCAAAGAGTTTATGTCTTGGGAGAGAAAGGGTAGCACAGAATATTGCTTGTTAGTCTGTTTCCACTTTTTTTTTTTTCTAGAGATCCTTTTGTGATGGCACTTGAGGCACTGCTAAGTAGTCGGTCAAGCATTGAGATGTATGTTCCTTGATGCCACTTCAGTAAGAATATTTTCAGAGCGCCTGTACTTTTACTTGTTTTGCTTAGAATTTTATTTGGACATGGTGTTCTGTGACTTTAAAAAGTGATTAAAGTCATACTAAAGCATTAGAATGTATAAATAAGTTTTTTTTGTTTTCTCTTTTTATGTATTAGGATGGGTACTAACAATGTTTTGAGTTTTGGGGAGTGGAAGCCAGTAATTTTTATATAGTCTCACATGTATTTACCTAGTAATTTATTAAGAACTTGAGTACTGCATTAGGTGCCATGTAGACAGAAGTAAAGAAGGTCTAATCCTATATAGTACATCAGACACAGATAAGTTAAATAGCAATTTTAGTGTAGTGCAAGTGTCTTATGAATGTCCCAGGAATGGAAGGGTTGGTAGGACCTATCTGTATATTCTTTGGAAATGAAGATCAAAGTTACCATTAGATTTTCACTGAGGTTTACGTATCAAAATATATGAAGGACAATTAATATGATAAGTACTACAGAATGCTCAGGGGTGAAAGGCACTTGAAAATGAGTATAATGTCCTGTGGGAACAAAAGGATAGAATGTAAAAGAAGGGACAGAGGTGTGAACAGGTCATAGAAGACAGTGAGGCATAGAATGAGATAAGGAGAACGAGGTGGAAGTAAGTGGTTAGAGATTGTCAGCAGCAGGATCAGTTTCTACAATGTCTCAAGCTAGAGAAAGCTTGAATGGTTTAAGAACTGAAAGTATTTCTTCTGTCTTTAAAGTTGATTTTGAAAAATTGGAGTATTCTGTACCAAAGCTTTAGTCAGACAAAGTGGACTCATTCAAAGGTAGAATTCTGCAGTAAGGTTTTTCAGACTTACTACCTGAGAAAGTATTTTGTCAGTGGATCCTAAAACAGAATCACCACAAAACTGAAGTTTTATGATACATGTATACATTGTATGATAATCAAATCAGGATATTTAGCATATTTACCACCTCACACATTTATTGTTTTTTTGTGGTAAAAGCATTCAAAGTCCTCTTCTATTTCTATTTTGAAATACTTTGCAAACCATAGTCATTCTGTTATACAACAAAATTCCAGAACTTATTGAGGTGACCAGAGCAAAGTATAAATACAATTTTAAAAACTCATTTAACATTCTCATCTAAATTTTTTTTTCTTTTTTTTTTTTTTTGCTGTACTAGGGATTGAACTCAGGGCCTCACTTTTGCTAGGAAGGTGCTCTACCACTTGAGCTACTCTGCCAGCCTTTTTTTGTGTTGGGTATTTTTAGATAGGGTCTCAAGAACTTCGCATTGGGGTGGCGTCAAACCTTGATCCTCCTGATCTCTGCCCCTACAGTACCTAGGATTACAGGTATGCGTCACTGGTGCCTGGCTTAGTTATTTTTCAGGTAGAAAATCCTGCTTTTTGTCTAGCCTTGAACTACTATCCTATGTCTGCCTCCCAAGTATCTGGGATTACAGTTGTGAGCCACTGTGCCTGGCTAGAAAAGATATTCCTTTGCATTCTGCCAAGACTTATTGACTACCTATTCTATGCCACACGGCTGCTTTAAATTATCTAAGTGTGACAGTATGACTCCATGTTATTTTCATGACATGAGTATATTATGATAAAGAATAAGGTGAGTTTCTCTTACTGGCTTCAGCTTAGAAATATGTGTATTAGCCAACTTTTAAAAAATATTCATGTTCTACTACAGTTAATAGTGTAACATAGTACAATGTGGAATGAAATGATTTTATCTCCTCACTTCTACCTTAAATCATTCTTATTATAAGGAATTCTTACTACATTTTCATTACTTCGTGAAATTGAGTTCAATTTTCAAGCTTTTTTTTTTTGCCTTTTTCAGACAGGGCTTTGCTATGTAGCCCAGACTGGCTTTGAACTCACAGTCCTCCTGCCTTTGCCTCTGAGTGCTGAGTTACAGTGCAGCACCATGCCTAGATTTAATTTTCACATTTCTTGGTTTGAGAACCCCTTTACATTAATAAAAATTGAGATTCCTTTTTTTATGTGGGGTGTAATCTGTTCGTGTTTACTGTATTAGAAATTTAACATACCACAAATGTGTTAAATACTAATGCCGTAAATTTCATCTTAATACAAGTTTAACATTTTTTGATATAATTATTTTCCAGAACAAATTTGTGAGGGGTGTGGCATTGTTTTACATTTTTTGTCTTTAATATATGGCTTAATAGAAGACTTAGACTCATGGTTCTGCTTCTGCATTCAATCTGTGTGGCATCATAAGTCATGTATATGGCCTCTGGTAACCTCCACCATACACTCATGAGAAAATGGGTGTAAAAGCAAATGAAGTCTTAGTTTTATTCATAATTTTTACCTGTGGAAACCCTAAGGGTCCCAGAACATAAATACCTAACTAGAGTAATTAGGTTCTACAAGGGGACATATTTTGCAGCCTGATAGATTAATTTAAATTAATTTAAAGCTCTAACTTAATTCTATTTAGACTATGAAAATATTTAATAAGAGATGAACTCATAAAATATTAGCATTTCATACCATGGTTTCAAATGCTGGCATAAATTAAACAATGTCTTGGAATTGATCCTAATGCCATCCAACTTTCTATAGTAGGTAGGTTTATAGTTGAAACTTGTTTAAAGCAACTCTTGAAATTTGATCTTTAAGTAAGGTTTTTGGTAAATAAATTTAGAAATTTAGCATAAATGTTAAGTGTTCTTAAATATTATAATGAGAACTGAAACTTACCATTTGTGTTTAATTTTCAGTTATTCTGGAGATTTCCTTTATAATATAAAAGTCTCAAAACATTTATTATACTTTATAATTGGATTTTTTGGTTGTTTAAGTTTTTGAAAATACAAATGATAAACTGAAATATACTATATACTTGCCTAGCACAAACAAGTCTGGAGTCTGAGCCTCAGAATACTTCTCCCTCATTTAAAAAAAAAAAAAAAAAGAAAAGAAAAATACAATGCAATGCTATATATTTTTCATTGTTCAGAATTGGCATTGACTAGCATCTCTTAATTTATAACTTGCCCCATTAGGTTACATTGATTTATACAGCCGTTTTATTCTGCCTCAGTGGACTAAATGATGATTAGGGTAACTATTCTGAAAGTCAAGTGGTTTATAAGATGTGAAGTTTCTCCCTAAATAAAACCAAATGTTGACTAGCCAGAAGACTTTACCTAATTTTAAAGTGTGTTTTATTTAACATGAAGAAATATATCACATTATATAACAAGTTTCTTATCTTTTTATTTGACAGGTGAAGTATTACAGACACCTAGCACCTGATCACTTGTTGCAAATATGTCATCGACTAGGACCTCTTCTTGAACAAGAAATTCCTCAAAGTGTTCCTGGAGTACAAACTTTATTAGGAGCTGGAAGACAGTCTTTGCTACGCACAAATAAAAGTATGAACATTTTCTAATAGTATTTAGACATTCTTTTTTCTCACTTTTTGTTTTTGTGTCCTATCTGTATATGCATAAAAATATTTTTGTTTAATAGGCTGCAAGCATGTTGTGTGGAAAGGGTCTGCTCTGGCTGCATTGCATTGTGGAAGACCACCAGAGTCACCAATTAACTATGGTAGTCCACCCAGCATTGGTGAGTTGAGTTCACTGTGTAGTTGATGACCTTTTGGTAAATGGTTCTTGAAAATGAAAAGGTGTTTTAGGTGATATAATCAGAGACTTCATATTTTATGCATCAGAACTCAGAAGGACAAAAGCTGTCAATTTTTTTCTTAAGTAGTTTTAATAAGTCATAATGTATAATTGTGGATTATATACATTATACTGTATGTAGGGTAATTAGTTCCTTAGTGTTTTATTTACTTTGTTTATTTTATTTTATTTTTTGTAGTACTGGGATTTGAACTAAGGGTCTACACTTTTAGCCACTCCACCAGCTCTTTCTGTGAAGGGTTTTTTTGAGATAGGGTCTCGTGAACTATGCCTGGGCTGAACTATGCCGCGGAGAACCGTGGTCCTTCTGATCTCTGTCTGCTGAGTAGCTAGGATTACAGGCTGAGCCACCAGTGCTCAGCTACTATTTTTTTTTTTTTATGAAAAAAATTTTACTAAATATGTATTATTAGGCTGAGTGGGATCAGTATCATAATACAAGTTCGTTATAACGGTAGAAAACAAATAGTTTGGTTATCTTTTAATAAGCACTGTGCATGTTTTTGTCTACAGAGTTTCAGAGAAGGAAAATTTGTAGATAGGTCTTCCTCTTAAACTGCTTTCTGGACTCATCACCTCTACCTCTACCAGATTCTTGTTTTACCTGGATTACTATAGCATCCTCTGAGATAGAGTTAGTGCTTCTGTTGTCTTCTGCCTTTCTCCCTTCTAGTAAACTGTGTAACATTGTATAAAAAAAAGTTACTTGTAGTATTTTAATGGTGTACTTCATCTACCACAAGTCAACTCCTGACTTTCATATTTTAATTGTAGCCTTTTTCTCTACTTCCTTTCTCTACTTCCACTCTCCTGCCTAACTGGGAATGTTATTCTCCTCCTTTCTTTGACCTGTCCAACTCTTATTTCTTCCTTTTTTGGATAGTTACTATGCTAATAATCACTGTTGGATTTTGTATTTTTTTGTTTAATGTTTACATGTATTTTTGAGTGTTTTACTTTCAACTTTCTTGTATCTTTTTATTTTTCAAATCTTAAAAATAGCATGACACTTTAAATACACATCTTTGTGTATTATGTGGAGCATTTAGTCCTTTACGTATAGTTATGGAAATAATTGAATTTAAATCTGTCTGTTGCTACTTTGAACGTGAAAAAGTGCTACTGTTTCTCTGATTGGGGTTTTTTTCTCTTCCTCTTTGATTTTCTGCAAGTTGACCATGATACATTTAGGTGTCAGTATCTTTGTGTATTCTTGTTTAAGCTTTATTATGCTTTTTGAACCTGTAATGTCTTTAATTGAAACTGAAAATTCTCAGCCATTCTTTTAAAATATCTTCTTTGCTCCATTCATTCTCCTTTCCCCTAGGACTTTAGTTAAACAAATGAAGACTTTTCCCTTTAGCTTCTCTGTTAATCTCTCTTTATGTGTTTTAATCTTTTCGTCTTTTTTGTGCTATGTTCTGGATTATTTCCTCAGACCTATTTTCCCAAAGTATCTTAACCATGGTTGGTCATGTCTTTTTTTTTTTTTTAACATAGGATTATGAAACGATAGTTAAATTATAGTATATAATCTTACAGTGATTGTCTCTAAAAACAAAGAATTTGATTTTCCAGGGTATATTTACACTTAGAAAATTATACTGAGGAATAGAAGTCAAAAAGAGGAAGATAAAATACTATAGGAGCTTTTCTCTTGTAGGAAGAAGTTTATGTATCAAAAATTGGCAGATCATATAATAAGGTGAATATGTTGTGCTTATTCTTACAAAGTGTAGTTGGGCAGCCCTGTGGCAACAATGAAAGTATATGAGTTTTGCACAATGAAAATACATGAGTGATGATAAATAATTTTCCTCTTAACTAACATTTGCATGTGAGTAATTACCATCTGCCAGGAGCTCTTGAGCATTTTCCGTTATTTTTTCTTTTAAAACCTTAAATGATGTATAGGTAGGAACTGTTAATTCTTGTTTTATGGAGAAGGAAACTGAAGCATGGAGAGATTTGGAAACTTGACCAAGGTTATACATTCAGTAATAACCGTTGGCTGCTCAAGAAAATTGGTATTAGTCTAGTCATTTTTGGAAAAGGATACTAAATATCTGTAAAATATTTTAGGTTAGGTCATTGATGATCACATGAGTAATAATTATTGCCAGCATGGATATAATGAGTATTTTATAAATATGGCAAAAATACCTTGGGTTTAGTGTCAAAGAAATGTGACTGATTCATTCAAGTAAATGAATGAATTACCAATCTGGTCATTATTGCAGCTTTCTGAAAGACTATATTATTGTTAGGGTTTAAGTTAAACTTTTTTTTCTCTTTCATATTTGCAGGAAAATTTTACTTCTTTATGAGAAATACCTGAACTAGGGCTGGAGGTGTGGCTCAAGTGGTGGAGCACCTACCTTGCAAGCATGAAGCCCTGAGTTCAAACCCCAGGACCACTAAAGGAAAAAAAAAAAAAAGAAAAGAAAACTGTAATAGAAGGCCAATTTTATGTGTTTTTTTTTTTTTTTTTTGGTGGTACTGGCGATTAAACTTGGGGCACTTTTGTCATATGAGCCATGTCCCTGAACTTCAAAAAAAATTGTATTTGCATAAATTTCTTCACTAAGCAGAAGCTGAATTGAAGAAAAATTACACTATACAGACATAGATTACTTTCATGTCTCATCAAAGTTCACTGTGTTGTGTCTTACTGTTGTTACAGAGTTATCATTAAGATGGTGATGGGAAGAAAAAAAATTCATCTGGGGTTCTTGGCAGAATAGTTTTCCTGCATAATGATTCAATGTATCATTTCAAGCTGTCATGGAATATAGGTCAAGAGACTTTTTAAAAAAGTATGGATGTTTGTCATAATGACATTTCTTTTATGTTTTTATTTTTTCATTTTTAGTAGCATATATTAATTGTATAGGGGGATTCATTGTGCCAGTTTCCAATAACCTTACATTGTACATTAGTTAGATTGTCCCCAACATCTCCCCTTCATCCCCTACAACCCTCTGTCTGTGCCCCATTTAAAGCAGTTTTAAGAGGTTTCATCATTCCATTTCATGTATGTATATGCAACCCATCAACCATAATCCCTCACCTTCACCATCTTCATTCACTCCCCCACAAATACCCCCCTTCCCCACTGTACCTATTTTATAGTCTTTTCATTTTTAATTCCAAAGTTGATGTTCAAAGGGGTTTCACAATGTATCCCTGCTGTGAATATACTTAACTTTAGTCAGTTCATCCTCCTTTGTTAACTCTCCCTTACCTCTTCCCTTTTTACTTCCCCCCATCATTCAACAGCTTTCACTACATACGATTATGTCCTCTACCTGCACAGATGTAATGTATTTCAATATTATTGACTCCAGCACATTCTTTTTTCCTTCCCTCCTCCCCCAGGTGCCATAGAGTAGTTCTACTATTACAAACATATTCTAGATTTAAATGTATATATAATCATGTTTGGTTTTGTGTGTATGTTTATCCTTTGGTTCTCTTTTCTACATAAGAGAAAACATGTGGACTTTGTGTTTCTGAACCCAGCTTATTTCACTTAAAATTATGTCTTCCAATTCCATAATTACATCCATTCACCTTCAAACCACATCCATAGATACATGCATATATACACACACACACCCCAATTTTCTTAATCCATTTCTTAATCTGTTCATCAGTTGTAGGGCATATGGGTCATTTCCATAGCTTGACTGTTGTGAGCAGTGCTGCAATAAACATCAGAGTGCAAGTGTCTCTATCACTTCCTGACACACATTCCTTCAGGTATATGCCCAGGAGTGGTATCACTGGATCATATGGTAGTTCTAGCTTTAGTTTTTTAAAGGAATCTCCATACTTCTTTCCATAATAGTTGTACTAATTTACATTCCCACCAGTAGTGTTATAAGGGTTCTTGTTTTGCCACATCCTCACTAACATTTGTTGTTTGTGTTCTTGAAGATAGCCATTCTAACTGGGGTAAAATGAAATCTTAGTGTAGTTTTGATTTGCATTTCTTTTATGACCAGGGAAGTTGAGTACTTATTCATGTATTTATTGGCCATATGTACCTCTCTTCCTTTGAAAATTCCCTATTCATTTCATGTGCCCATTTCTTTATTGGGTTGTTGATTCTTTGGGGATTGAGTTTTTTGAGTTTCCTGTAAATTCTGGATATTAGTCCCGTATCAGATGAATAGCTGGCAAAGATTTTCTCCCATTCTGTGGGCAGTCTCTTAAGTCTAGTAACTGCTTATTTTGCTGAGCAAAATCTTTTTATTTTGATGCACATTTGTTCATTCATTCTTTTAGATACTGAGCCATTGGAGTTCTATTTAGGAAGTTGTTGCCTATGCCTGTATGTTCTGGTATATTTCTTACTACTTCCTGCAGTTTTTAGTTTCTTTATTAACATATATTAGTTGTACAAAGGAGTTTAATTGTGATATTTCCATGCGTGCATACAATGTACTTCAATCAAAGTCACCTCCTCTTAACTCTTCCCTCATCCCCTTAAAACAATTTCAACAAGTTTCATTTTTCTTTTTTCATACGTGTGTATAAGTACTTTGACCTTACTCATCTCCCTTTACCCTCTGCTTTCACTCTCCTTCCTCCCACTGGAAACCACCCACAAATAGAATGCATTTTACATTCCTGACATTCATTTTTAAAGGCTAGATTCCACATATAAGAGAGAATATGTAATATTTTCCTCTCTCAGTCTGGCTTATTTTGCTTAACATGATAATCTATTTCTATTTCTTTTTTTGTAAATGACAATTTTATTCTTCTTTATGATTGAATAACACTCTTGTTTATATGTACCACATTTTCTTTATCCACTCATCTGCTAGCTGATTCCATATTTTGGAAATTGTGAATAGTGCTGCTATAAATATAGGTGTGCAGGTATCTTGAGGAGGATTGAGGATTTACACT